TGGTTTTGAGAAGTCCTCAAACTTGCAAGCAGTGTCAGAGGTGAGGGCAGTTTTGTGTGGGGACTATTTCCTCTAACCGTACAGTTGGCTTAAATTTTGCAGTTGGCATCGGAAGTGGGATTGATTCTAACTCACTATAACATGTGGTTTGGAAAAAGAGAAAAGATGAGAGGGTGAGGATTGTTAAATTTTTTTATTGCTAGCTGCCCATGTTATAGAACTGCATGTAACTTCACTGTGGTCAGCAATTGGAGGTAAAAGTAACAGAATTTAGAAATGATGGATCTAACCCCTGAGTAGTTGGCATACTGAGTATATATGAAAATGAAAAGTAACAAGAAACAAACAAATATATAATCTTTTGGTTATTGTTTTCTGTAAATAGTTAAAATGAAGGGAGAGTGTTGGGGCAGATCTTACTGAAGCCAAGGTTGGATTCTAACCAGTCTGAGTTATAATTGCTAATCTTGGAGTTGCTACAGATAGTGAAAATTAAGCTGAAATAACTGGAAAGAAAGACTGATTTGTAAGAGGATGAGGAAGGAGAAAATGGAGAGTCAATGGACTCATTAAATGGTTCTTAAGAAGTGGTATGAATAAAGAAGACATTGCTGGGCATGGTGGTGCACACCTGCAATCCCAGAGAGTAGGGAGGCTGAGGCAGGAGCATCAAAGTTCAAGGCCAGCCTCAGAAATTTAGCAATGCCCTAAGCAATTTAGTGAGACCCTGTCTCAAAATAAAAATTAAAAAGGACTGGGGGTGTGGCTCAGCAGATAAGCGCTCCTGGGTTCAATTCTCAGTAGCAAAATAAAGAAAGAAAGCAGGGCTAGGGATGTAGCTCTCTGGAAGAACGCTTGCCTGGTAGGTACAAAGGCCAATGGTTCAATCCCTAGTACCACCAAAATAAAAAAATAAAGCAAGCAAGCAAGCATGCAGATCTTGATGGGGTCACAACAAAGGTCTTAGTGAAGTACTCTTGGAAGTTGGGTGGACCAATGGGAGTCCCTGCTGGTCTCCCAACTTTGAGGGGCCCTAAGCAAATCTGCCTAATTTATCCTAGTCTCAAGCATTTTGAAAAGCCAGAAGATAAAGATTATGAGAAACTTGACCTTGAATTGCTTGAGACATGACCCCACATTCTAATCAAGCAAAGGACTTTTGAAGAGCCTCAGTCCTTTAGCCTGACCCTGGATGGGGACCCAAGACCATATATACACAAACAGGTAAAATGGTCAGGAAATGGAGAAGAGAGATTTCTGGGGCTCTTGAACATGGAAATCCACATACTATGGTTCCAACCTGTTGGGGAATCCTAATGGGGGCTGTAGATAGATTTAAAGGATATGGAAATATAATATTTGATGGGATTAAGGTGAAGGTTTGATGAAAATTGAAATGTTTAGACAGACTTTATATGAAGTGGTTTTATCTCCTTTACTTGATGGTATTATAGAGCTGAAAATGCCTGACTGGGAAAGTTTCCCTACCTAGCATTGTAAAACAGAAGGCCCTTTTGCCAATATCGATTGATCATACTAAATGGCATGACCTATAAAAATTTTCCAAGCCTACACAGGTTGTTAATCTGAACCAGTATCAGACTTGGGCTATGGCAAAAGCACCAACCAGCAATGACCACTGGGATTTTTTTTTTTTTGTTTTGTATTATTATTTTTAGTTGTCAATGGGCCTTTTTTTTTCTTATTTATTTATATGTAGTGCTGAGAATTGAACCCAGTGCCTCCACACATGCTAGGCAAGCGCTCCACCACTGAGCCACATCTGCAGCCCTGACCACTGGGATTTTAAACCAGAAACTTTCCATTGGAGAGACAGTTACAAGCTTGCTATTGGGCATGGATTGAAACTGCCTGTATAATTGAAGGACATAATTTCAAAACTTGAAATACCCATGTCTTGGGTGCTGTTAGGGAAATGTTGTAACAGGAAGGAAAGTGCCCAGAATAGTTCCACCACAAAATGGAAACGTTTTACAGAGGAACACACCACCATGGGAGTGCAAGGAGTTGCTCAAGAGCAGTTATGCTCTTTCCCCTGAGGGCTAACTTTAGAGCCATCTCAGATTCTGCTGGATCTAATAGCCACTTAGTCCACTTAAGCGATGCCCTATGAACAGCTCTTTGTTGGCCAACAAAAAGCTACTTGATTTATGGAAGGGAGTTCCAAGGTGGACAGACAGCATTCTATTTGGAAGATCATCACTTTGATTAAAGAATGCAAAAACAGGGGCTGGGGTTGTGGCTCAGAGGTAGAGTGCTCATCTAGCATGCATGAGGCATGGGGTTCGATCCTCAGCACTTCGTAAAAATAAAATATAGATATTGGGTCCACCTAAAACTAAAAACTAAATATTAAAAAAAAGAAAGAATGTAAAAAAAAATCAGCTCTGTGGGCCAAAATGCATACTGTCTGGCCCTATGTTTGGATTTGAGCTTTTACCAACTCATGGGTAGTAGTTAATGGTCTGGCCATAGGGTCAGGCAGAAAGGCAATGGGAAGTGGACTATGAAAGGGGATCCTCATGAGAAGCAAGGCACAAGGAAAATTACTATGGAAATTTAAGAGCAATACTAAAGTAGGACATGTAAATGTTCATCAGAAGAAAGTCCATCCAGGACTAGAAGGTAATTGGAATATGCAGTGGATTTTCTGCTATACTTGCTTGAGATGGCCACCTGGGTCCACAAAATGAGTGGCCAAGGGAGAACTAGAACAACACAGAGATGGGATGAATCTGAACAGCCTTGTGCACTCTCTCAGGCACAAAATGTCAATAAAAACAGCCTGTCTACCAATAAGAGACAGAGATGGTAGAGAACTCTGAGGGAAGCCTGCATATAACTGGCAAATTGGATGATTCCAGTAGCCCAGGGAGGTTATAAATGGGTCTTGAACAGAATAGACACTCACTCTGGACCAGGCTTTGCATGCCTAGTGGTAAATGCAAATGCTTAAAATACCACAAAAGGACTGGAATAGAGACTACCACACTAATTTAGACTGTCAAGTCATATTTCTTCAGACCATGGAAAACACTTTCATCTTCAGAGTAATGTTTTGATAGGATTGTGTGTATGTGTGTGTGTGTGGGTATGCGCGCGGGCGCGCGCGCACATGCTAGGATTGAACCATATCCCCAGCCCTATATTTTATTTTGAGACAGGGTCTCATTAAGTTGCTGAAGCTGGCTTTGAACTCATGCTCTTCCTGCCTCAGCCTCCCAAGCAGCTGGGATTACAGGTGTGCATCACTGTGCTCTGCTTGATAGGAATTAGAATAAAAAATTGAAGCATTTGTTGTCTAAAATAAGAGGAGATAAGAGCATGGAAGTCTGATACATATTTGTGAGTATGTGCTCGCCCTCAATATGAGGCCAAGGAATGGATTCCTCCACTTCTCTGGGGGATCTGGGGGAAGGGCGTGGTGGGGTGCTGACACAATTACCCAATGCTTTCCCACCCCACCTTACTTTCTTTTTTTGAACCAGATGAAGTGGTTTTTAGACTGGGGCTGCAACTGTGGGTACCAGAAACAGGGATGATTCCAAGGTGAGAATTTGCAATTATTCTTTAAACCATAAAGTTTTAAAATTCAGAATTCCAAGGGCTAAATGAGGTGAATTGTGTCTTTTGTGGGGGAAAGATACTGGGGATTGAACCTAGAAATGCTTTATCACTGAACCACATCCCAATCCTTTTCTTATCTTTTCTTTCTTTCTTTCTTTCTTTTTTTTCTTTTTTTTGAGACAGGGTCTCCTGCTTCAGCCTCCCACATTGCTGGAATTACAGGTGTTCTCCACTGAGCCCAGTGGTGGATTGTGTCTTTATCCATCTGGAAAAATTGGGGGTTAACAGTGAATATAGCTATCATCCTCTATTCAAGGTGATTATCTATTTCTGTACCTGCATCAATTATACTGAAGGGATGGGAGTGGACTGAGAGGGACACTTGCTAGAATAATATAGCCAATAGCATTCTGGACCTGCATAGCAGATAAACTTACCATCTCCTTCAAAAGTGGAAAAGGTAGGATATAAATGGAGAGAAGAATGGTTGTAAAAGAATAAAAAAAAATGGGCATGAAATTAGGGACATCCAATGCTCCAACAACACCTCGCAAAAAGGTCAGAGCGTGTGATGTCATTGTCTCTTAGCTTAACTATACAGAGGCCTGAAGGGGTAAAGCCAAATGTGGCCAAGATGGGTGCTGCTTTTAGAACCTGTTGGAACCATTTGGAAGTCTGGAAATAAATTCCTTTTACCACTGGCCAAACAGCTGATCAGGAGGTAGATCTGAGCATGCCTCCTATCTTCTTTTTAGTCGACTTAGAACAAAACTCTTTCTGCAAAAAGTGATACCACAATATGATCAAAAAATTATGCCACAATATGATCTTCATGGCTTGGGCAGCAAGCCCTTGCTCAGCAATGATTTTCCAGGTTATATCTACTGTCAGTTTAATTTTGTGTTAATGTTAACCTTGTTGCTAAGATTCAAACATCTTATGTGAACAGATCTTGTGATAATACTGATATGGATAATCAAATGTATTGGGAAAATGATTGGCCTGGAGAAAGAAATGGATTTGGCTAACCATTGGCTAATTTCTATGCTACTATGCTTCAAGAAGCCCAAGCCACATGGAGACACCTACACAGAGAAGTAGAGAAGTCTTTAAATCACTGTCCCAGCTGAGCTGTCAGGGAACAGCAGCACCGGTTGCCTGTCATGTCTGTGAGCCATCCTAGAAGTCGCCGCCAGCACCATGTGGAGCAGAAGTGCCCAGGTGACCACAGCACATTTACAGAATCGTGAAATGCTTAAAGCCACTCAATATTGTGGTATTTTATTTGCTAGAAATAAATAAACAAAACATGGGATTCTGCCATCCACCCTCTCCCCACTTTCCAGATTGCTCACTCCTTTGGTCTGTTCTTATTTCCTCCCTCATTCTTCTTATCTTTGTGGGTTTATGCCTAATTTTTATCCTTCTGTTGTGCTTTTAGTGGGGTTTGGGGAGACAGGAGATAAATAGGTCTATTTAATCTGTTCTATTAAAAGTGTCTCCTGCGTTCTTACTCACAACATATTCCCTCTACTTCTTCTTTATTGCTGATCTGACTCTGTTCAGAGACAACTCTCAGACTCCACAAACCCCAGACAGGGGAGATTTGGGCTCAGTGTCCTCTTCATCCTCCAGTACTTCTTTGAGGGGCATGCCATTCATCTCTTCCCCCTGTCAACCATCCTTGGGGACCACAATCATCCATTGCCCACTGACTGAACAGCACACCCTCCTCCCTCCTCTTTTTTTTATTATTTTATTTTATTTTGTGCTGGGGATGGAACCCAAGGCCTTGCACATGCTTAGCAAGCATTCTACCACTTAGCTAAACCCTCGGGCCTTTTTTTTTAAGGATTTGGCCTCCAGCTTCTGGGTTCAAGTGATACTCCTTTTTTAACCTCCCAAGTGGCTGGGACTACTGGTGTGTGCGACCACACCCAGCTGTGCACATCCTCTTCATCAGCTTTTGAGCTTCTCATTCTTTTTCTTGTTGCTGTTGTTATGGGAGATTGAATTCAGGGGCACTCCACCACTGAGCCACATCCCCAACCTTATTTTATATTTTATTTAGAGACGGGGTCTCACTGAGTTGCTTAGCACCTCGCTTTTGCTAAGGCTGGCTTTGAACTCGCGATTACTCTTCCCTCAGCATCCAGAGCTGCTGGGATTATAGACATGGGCTACCACAGCAGCTGAGCTTCTCATTCTTCTTCTTATTTTTTTTTTGAGACTGATTTTAACTATATTTTGTTTATATTTTACATTTGTTTCATATCAAGTCTTTGAAACCCAGGGTGAATTTTATACTTATATGTCAACACTAATGCTAAACTTTTTATCAGGAATACTTGATCTGTATTTAGATTTCATAAAGAGCTTCTCATTCTTGTGACTTCAATATCCCCATGATCAACCAGCCACTTTAGGTTGCCTTCTCCTCCACTTCCATCAGTCACCCCGTCTAAGGACCAGCCCCCAACTGTGCCATCTCCTGGAACTGCCCCACCTCTGAAGTTATTAGTTCAGGCTGGCTGCTGCTCATCACAAGGGCTTAGTGAGAGGTCTCTCCTATCTGAAACTAATCCTGAAATCGGTTCGTCCTCCTCGTTCTCCCCCCACCCCACAATCCCCGTCTACTTTGGGTCTTTTTCTTCTCTTTCACCTGTTTCCAAAGGACTGCCTAGCACTATTCCTCCAGCTTCTAGTAGAAGAGACTGGTTTTGTCTGTAAGTTTTGTCTCAGCCCTTGTCATCTGGATTAAACTGGATCCACCCTCAGCCCCATGAGACCCAGACATTGTCAATCCATCCCTTGCCCATTGACAGATGGGCTTAACCAAAGTCAGGCCAAACGGAATCAAGACACTCAATTCTTATATTTTTATTAAAGCCATTAGATAACTGGAGCCTCTTGGATTTAAGTCTGAAAGGCTGGGAGGCCAAAGCTGCAGCAGCCAATTTGCCACTGAGAGGAGGGCCTTTTAAATCTGATAACAGAGGAGGGTAAACCCCTAACAGACCTGCGGTTGTCAATGCCTGAATCTGGTTAACTTAAGTTTTCAGTTACCATTACCCATTCAAGCTTTCTACCTTAAGTCTAGTTGGTCTTGTGGCTCTCAGTGAATTTATCAGATCATTTTAAAGTGGAAAGAAAGAAAAGAAAAGAAAAGAAAAGAAAAGAAAAGAAACAGCTGGGCCTGGTGGTTTACACCTATTAATCTCAGCAATTTGGGAGGCTGAGGCAGGAAGACAAGTTTAAGGTCACCTAGAGCAATTTAGCATGACCCTGTCTCAAAATAAAAAATAAAAAGGTCTGGGGATATAGCTCAGTGGTTGAGTTCCCTGGGTTCAATTTGCTCAGGTACATACACACACACACACACACACACACACACACTCACACCACAAAGAAATGGGTGGGTAGGGAAGGAAAAAGCTTCAGACATAGTCTACAGCTCCCCCTAGTGGAAATTTTTTTCTAAAGAATCTAGATAACAGGCCTTAATTTTAATCCAGCGTGTGGTCCCTGTAGTCTATTATGTAGTAGATCTAGGTCAATTTAGAACATCTTTCCTAGTTAAAAAACCGTAATTGCTTTTATTTATAATCCTGGACACAGCCCATTCTTAGATATTTTGTAGTTCAGAAGTATAATCCCAAATGAAATATATACCAGAATCATACAGTGGGTTTTGAATGCACTAGAATATTAAGAAATAATTTTCATAACTAGAAATTTATTGGTTTTTGTTGATAGCAAAATCAAGCAGTTGTAGGCTGAGCGCTCACCTGAGGGACTCCCGGGAAGAAGGTGGAAATGTCTTCCCAGCAGAGAAGCGGGTCTGGGAGTGGGGTCCAAGTACCCCAGGCAGCAGGGTTTCTGAGCAGCACTGTTGCTTGCTTAGTGATGGAGCCATCGCACTGGCCTTCCTTCACCAAGTCATGGGAAGAAGGTTGCGGAGGCTGGTGCAGAAGCCAGAGAAGAAAGGGCGCAGCACCTTGTAAATTCCAGTCACCCATCCCAACCCCTACTTCCGGAACCTGCAGTACCAGACCAGTCTGAAGCCCACCCACTGTGGTCAGAGGAGGGGAGGTGGGCGAGAGTGACCCTATACCACCCTGTCCTCCACAAAGCAGTAGGCAGATTAGTCCCAGATGCCCTTAAGTCTAAATGCAACTGGAGCCCAGGCCGATCCTCGTCTTGTCCTCGGGGCGCCCCCTGATGGCTGATCTGGTCTCTGCAGAAAAACTGAGTTTATCAGTGCTCTCCCAGAATCCAGAGGGCTGACAGCCCAGATACCAAGCCCTTCGCTGCGGAACCCCATGGGAGGAGAGGGCCGGATGGAGAAAGCAAATAAATCTGTACAAAGTTTCTAACACCATTAGCCTCCACCTCCACCGCCAACTGTGAACAGTCAGTGGAGAACCACGCCAGAAGTAAGGACCATCAAACATTCTGGAAAAATGGAAAAGGAAGAACGATCACTCAAAAACAACCTCCAGGGAAATTTATGCAAGATATGCAAATTCATATCCTCATTAATATTAATGGAGCACCTTACATTAATAAAAAAAAAAACTTAGGGGACAAAAGGTGGTACATCCATGTAATAGAGTACTATTTAGCATGAAAATGAATGAGAGTCTAACATGTTACAACACTGATGAACCCTGATAACATTATGTTAAGTGAAATAAGCCAGACACAGAACAAATAGTGCACGATTCTAGTTATACGAGGAACTTAGAGCAGACAAACATATAGTGAGGAAAGTGGCATAAAAGCTACCAGGCTGAAGAGTTGGGGGGATGCTGAAGTTATTGTTTAATGATATGGAGATTTTCTTGGGGATAATGAAAAAGTTTCAGGTATAGATAGTGGGGATGATTACACAAAATTGTGACTTGATGCCATTGAATTGTACACTAAAAAATGGTTAAATGGGGGCTGGGGTTGTGGCTCAGTGGTAGAGCACTCACCTAGCACATGCAAAGTGCTGGGTTTGATTCTCAGCACCACATAAAAATAAATAAATAAAATAAAGGTATTGTGTCCATCTGCAACTAAAAAACATTTTAAATGGTTAAATGGTAAATTTTATGTGTATTTTACCAAGCTCTCTCCCCCCCAAAAAGGAGCAAAGAACAAGAAAGAATTCTTGGGAATTCAGAACCTAATGATAAAAAGGAAAAAAAAAAGAAAAGAAAAGAAAGAAAGATAAAGACTATAGAGAGAAACTAAATAGAAGCAGAGAATAATGAAATGGAATCTACTCAAAATACATCATGATTTAGAACACCAGCCTAGGAGTCAGCACCCAGTGACTCGGGAGGATCCCAAGTTTGAGGCCAGCCTGGGCAACTTAAGGAGATCCTTGGCACCTTAGCAAGACCTTGCCTCAGAATAAAAAATAAAAGGATTTGGTTCAGTGCTAAAGTGCCCGGGGGGTTCAATCCTCAGTACCAAACAAACCAACCAACCAGCCAAGAACTCTCTTAGAAAAATTTTGAGGACCCTATTTTGATTTATAATTATTTCCATCTTTAGTAAGTCTTATTTCCAAACCGTCTACGGCCCCAGTATGATAAATCAGGCATCAACTCAAAAGCACAGTGTTTATTGCAGAATGTAAAGAAAACATCCCTTCCAGTTCTCCTCAGGGCTGAAGGGCAATGATGGAGCCCCTAAGAGAAGGGTAAGATGGGGGGAAATGCCAGCTGAGAGGAAGAGTTGAAGTCTGCTTCTTCAGGGAGCAAAGCCCAACCCCTCAGGTCCTGGAGGCCATAGAAAGGGGTATTATGGTTTAGATTTTTCAACCCAATGGCCATGGGTTGAAGGCTTAGTCAGCAGCCTATTGTGCCATTGGGAGGTGGTGGCAACTTTAGAAGGTGGTGCCTAGTGGGAGGAAGTTAGGACATTGGGGACAGGCCCTTACCCAGCTCCTTCTTGTCTCTCTTTGTTTGCTTTCTCATTGCAGCCTTCCCTGCCACACGCTCCTGGGTCACGATGTGCTGCCTTACCAAAGGGCTAACCATGTACTGAAACCTCAACCATAGGTCAAAGTAAATCTTTCCTTCTTTAAGTTGATTTTCTCAAATATTTTATCATAGCAAGAGAAAGCTGATAAACACAGGGGAAAAGAAAGAAGAAGGTCAGAGAGATCAGGGCCATATGTTATGTTCCCTTCTTGGTTTAGAATTGGGAACTCCTGATATGGTGAAACCATCAAGTGGGTATTGTGGGAGCTCATGGAAGTTTCAAACCAGAAGAGCATCAAAGAGAGCATCTAATCTAGAGGAGGCAGATTATCAAGTTAATATATTTTCTTCTGCTTGTCACTTTCATGAGAAAGTAAGGAAGAAAAGATTAGTTGTAGGGATAAGGAGTCTTCATTGTCTGTCCATCTGAGTGTGCTGGTTAAATCTTTTTTTTTTTTTTTTTGGTAGCTAAATGTTTGGAAAACTTAATGCAACTTTCCAGTGGCTTGGGAGGCCCAGGCAGGAGGATTGCAAGTTCAAAGCCAGCCTCAGCAACTGAGGCAAGGCCCTAAGCAACTTAGAGAGACCCTGTATCAAATAAAAAATAAAAAGGGCTGGGGATGTAGTTCAGTGGTAAAGACCCTGGGTTCAATCCCCAGTACCCCAAAACTAACAAAACAAAACAATAACTTGCAGAGTGCCCCTCTTCTCTCTTTCCCTCCCTCTTTCTTTTGTCTAATTTGAGCTCCCTTGCAGCACAGCAACCTCAGGGTCTTCAGACTGCTTTGCATGGTGGCATTTATGACTTAGCCTAAAAATTCACATGACATCACATTTGCCATTACCACAAGGCCCGCCTAGATTCAAAGGAATGGGACATAGATATTGCTTCCCAAGGCAGAGTGCCAAAGTCACATTGTGGGACATATGTGTGACATGAGGGATAGTGTTGTGGCCAGCTTTAGAAAATACAATCTGCCACAGCCTGCCCTCTGGTCACAACGATTCACATTCCTCCCACAAGAAAATACAAGTCTCAGCCTATTATGGCATCAACTCAAAGTCTAGGATTTCAGCAACCAATTCAGGTCCAGATGCAGATGAGCCTTCACAGATGTGGTTCGTCCTGAATTAAGTATGAGGTCACCCCAGCCCTGTGGTCTGGACAAAAACTCCCCCTGCAAGGTAGCCTGGTAACATTCTGCCAGCACTTTCTGAACACCTTCTGCATACCTGGCTATGGAAAATCTGGACCAATAAGAAAGACCCAGAATCTGCCAACACAAGCTTTTGATGGAGATTTTCCCTCCATGGCTGCCACTGTATGAGCTGGTTCCTCTACTTGGATGCCATCTCTAATTGTGGAACTTCCTTCAGGTTCATTAACTTTAGAGCATCCAATTCATGCTGAATTCAGGTTTTTGGACACTAGCTGATAAATATTTGGAAGGTTCCCACAGTGGTTCTGTCAACCAACCTCATTTTCCATTTTGGAAAGTATGTAGCAGTGCCTGTTTTGCTGTTATTCAAAAATAGTTATCTTATGGGAAATGGGAATACTGAGAGCAAAATTCTCCTAACGTTATATAATTGAGTCAAAGGTAAAAATGTTTCCCAATAGCAGGGTGTTTGCTAGATTAAACTGAGGGATCCTGTAGACTGTGTGTTCGGTTGTCAAGGAAGCAAAAAAAATACACAAAATTCTGGAAATGCAACATTGAAGACTGAGTCTCAAATGTGCTACATTAGGGCTGGGGATATAGCCTAGCTGATATGATGCTTGCTTTGCATGCACAGGGCCCCAGGTTCAATCCCCAGTACCAAACACACACACAAAAAAATTATGTGCCCCATTATTGGGGACTTGATGTCAGATGATTTGGTATATTGACATTTTTTAGGACGAGATCCTTCCTGATGGCCTGTAAGTCCAACTTTGTCACTTTAGATTTGAGTTCATATTTTCAGGTGTGACATGCAGCACAAACTAAAGAAAGACCTGCATTTAATTTTCTATGACTTCTATAACAAATTGCTATAAATTTGGTGGCTTAAAACAACACAGCTTATTCTCTTACAGTTCTGGAAGCCAAAGGTCCAAAAGGTGCCCTTTCTGGAAGCTCTACGGGGAATGCATTGGCTGGTCCTTTCCAGCTCCTAGAGCTGTGTTCCTCGTATTCCTTAGCTTGCAGTTCTTTCTCTAGCAGCCGAGCATTTTGTTTCCATGTCACATGGCCTTCTTCTCCTGTGTCAGCCCTCCCTTTGCCTCCTTCTTATAAGGACACTTGTGATTACATTTAGGACCCACTCAGGTAATCTGGGATAATCTCCCCATCTCAAGATCCTTCAACTTTCTCATCACATAGCTATATTCCATGCTTTATATGCATTCAAGTGGGGGAAATGCTATTTAAGAAATGAAGTCAGGGGCTGGGATTGTGGCTCAGTGGTAGAGTGCTCGCCTAGCACACATGAGGCACTGGGTTCAAACCTCAGCCCCACATGAAAATTAATAAAGATATCGTGTCCACCTACAACTCAAAAATACATAAATAAAAAAAGAAATATAGTAAATCTATAGCTAAGAACATAGGCAATGTCCAAAACATACTGTAAAATGAAAAATACAAATTAACAATTAATAGATATTTAGAAAATATAACAGAAAAAAACAACCTATGAGAGCACTATAAAAGATAAAATACCTTCTAATAACAAGAAACTTAAACCAATTTAAAGAAACACTTGAAACATTGCAGAAGGATAGAAAAATAGGTAAATAAATGAAAAGCATATGCTATATACCTGCATAGAAAGATTTATTATTATAAAAAATTTTCCATTAATTTTTAAATTTAGGGGCTGTGGCTGTGGCTCAGTGGCAGAACACTTGCCTAGCATGTGTGAGGCACTGGGTTTGATCCTTAGCACTGCATACAAAAATAAGAGCACATAACATAAAGGTATGTTGTTCATCTACAACTATAAGAATTTTTAAATTTAAATTTAACATAATAACAAATTACTAGTGATTTTTTTAAAAAAAAAACTAGGGAAATTGATCATAAAGATGATGCAAAATAAAAATTAACACACAAGGGGCTAGTGATGTAGCTCAGGGGTAGAGTACTTTCCTAGCATGTCTGAGGTCTTACATTCAATCCCCAGTACCACCAAAACAAGGAAAAAGTTAACACACAAGAATAACAAGAAAGGGGCTGGGGTTGTGGTTCAGTGGTAGAGCACTTGCCTAGCATGTGTGAGGCACTGGGTTTGATTCTCAGCACCACATATAAAATAAAATAAAGGTCCAACAACAACTAAAAACAAAATTCTTTTTTAATTTTAAAAAAAGAATAGCAAGAAAGATCTGGGAAGGAGGAGCAAGGAGACAATGAGGTGGGCAGGGGCTAATTCTCTTTGTTAACTAAAAATAGTTAATTCAATGAACAATTGTAGGATAACTGGAAGCCAGCCAGAAGTAAACAAAGTTGAGTTCATACCTGAGGTCTCACTTCAGGATAAATTCCAAAGGGCTCATGATTTAAGTAAAGGCCAAAGAAACTAGAAGCCCTTGAAGGAAACATTCAGGATGAATTGGTTTATAACCTCAAATTTTTTAATGTCTTAAAATACAAAAAGGCAATTAAGAATTTTAAAAGACTGCATTTAAAAACAAGCTTGGAAAAACATACCCACATTTTAAACAAACAATATATACAAACTAGAAAAAAAATTGTTGATCATGGCTAGGGATATAGCTCAGTTGGTAGAATGCTTGCCTTGAATGCACAAGGCCCTGGGTTCGATCCCAAGCACCATCCCCCCCCCCAAAACAAAATGTGGATAATACCAGCAAGTGTGTATTCTCTGACCATATAAAGAGCTCTAAAAGAGAACTAGGGATATAGCTCAGTTGGCAGAGCACTCACATAGCCTGTGCAAAGCCATGAATTCAATTCTCAGTGCTCCCCCCAAAAAACTTTTAAAAGACCAAGAACCCAAAGAAAAAGTGAGCAAAAGGTACAAATAGGCTGTTCTCAGAACATGATATGTGAATAGACTGCAAACATGAAAACATGTTCAGACTCATTCATGCAAAAAAAAATGCAAGAGTAAAAATCTCAAGAGTATGATAATGATAACTAGGGTTTTGGATATGTCTTTCCCCACCCCCCAGATATCAGATTGAAAAAAAATTATAAAATGCATTGTGTAACCAGTCTGTGGCCAAAGTAATAATTTAGTTATTGCTTTTGGGGTATATATTGTTATAATCCCTACAGGGGACAACTTAACTTTATCTCTGCAAATTACAGTGTATTTACCCTGGCACTTTGCCTTACAAATGAATGGCACACATGCAAAATGAAGTCTGTATAAGGTTATTTACTGGAGCAATATTGCTAATAACAAAGATTAATTGGTTAACCACATTATAATGTTTCTATTCAATGGAATACTATGCACATATGATCAGCTCTCTCTGAAACAAGAAGCAAAACTTTCAAGGTATTGGTAAAATAATATAGCAAGGTACAGAATGATGTTACCTTTAATGTAAAAAAGAAACTATAAAAAAATGCACCCTCATTTTCTTGTGCATCCAGAAGAACCTCCAAAAGATACAAATTTAGGTGATTTCCTCACAGGGAAACTGAGATGACAGGGAGGGAGGAACTTTTCACTATATTTTTTATTTTCGTAAAACAAATATAAAACATTTTTAAGGAAGGAAAAAATTTGTAAAGCAGTACATATAGTGAGGTATTTTCTCATGTATGCGTTTTATTTGATTTTTGATACAAGATCTCCCCATTGTTATCCAGGCTACCCTCAGGCTTCTGGGTTCAAGTGATCCTCCTGCCTTAGCCTCCCAAGTAGCTGGGACTACAGAGCCTGCCACCATTCCAGGCTTCATATGTGCCTTCAAAAAAGCTGCTAATGATGGTGACCTTGAAGTCTGGTCTTTCTTCTTTTTTCTTTTTTTTTTTTTTTCACTTACAAAATTTGTATGTTTTAGTACAAGATATGGTTGTTTCTATAATCATAAATGAAAACAACTTTAAATTATTTATTTATTTACAGGGCCTTGGACATGCTGGGCATTTTTAATTTAATGGAGAAATGATATATCTTTCCTCCTCGATATTCTTTCTTTAAAACATATTTTTAGTTGTAGATAGACACAATGCCTTTATTTTTATTTATTTATTTTAATGTGGTGCTAAGGATCAAACCCAGTGCCTCAAACGTGCTAGGCAAGCGCATTACCACTGAGCTACAACCACAGCTTCCTTCCTCACCGTTCAATAATTACCAACGGCACTTTAGTAGAATCCTGGCTTTCACCCAATATTTTTGCTTCAGTACCCCTTTCTAATTTAACTTGAACCATATTTATTTATTTGTTTATTTTAGAATCAGACCCTCCCTGTCCCCACTCTTCAGGAATTGTCTGCTACTCTTGAGATTCAGGACAAACTGGTTTCTTCCAAACGTTGTTTCACCTCATTAAACTTAAAAAATAACTTTTCCTTATATGTTGCTGCACTGATTTTACAAACCGAAACTTCTTACCCCTTCTGTCAACTCCTCCAAATTTCATGATTTTTCTTGAGCCAGGGGAGAGACTGAGAATCCCAGAGAGACAGACATTTTCTTTTTGCATCTAAAGAAAAAGAGAAAACAGGAGCTTCCTGAGTAGGAAACTCTGCTGGAGCTAAGGTTATTTATAGAAGTTGGATTTAAATATAATTCTGCCCTTTGGTAACTCTAGTGACTGCTACTTTAAGATTTGGTGCCGCCCTTTATGTAAGAGGGCTTGTTTTGTTTCAGTACATTACAGATGGAATACAAATTAGCAGGCAACGGACAAGAAGTATGCAAGCTCTGATAAGCAACCCTGGAAGGGAGGGGCCACATAGTATGTGGAAGTTGTCAGTGTAACCTTGGCCTGAGGACCAGGATTTGACAGATTGTACTTTGCAGCCATTGTAGAAAGCCATAGGTCAGCTCTTCAAACAATCAAATATAGAATTATTTGGCTATGGATGTAGTTCAAGTGGTAGGGTGCTTGTCCAGCATGACCATGGTTTGAATCATAGTTTGATCCTCAGCACTGCAAGGAAAAAAAAAATCATATGATTTGGCAATTCTGCTTCTGGGTATTTATGCGCCAAAGAACAAAAAGGAGAGACTCAGAGATCTGTTGGTTCATAGCACTATTAGTCACAATAGCCAAAGGTGGAAGTAACCCCAGTGGTGGATGAATGGATGAATAAAATTTGATATACATACATAATGGAATATTATTCAGCTTTGAAAAGCAATGAAACTCTGACATGTTACAATGTGGTATGAACCTTGAAAACATTATGCCAAGTGAAATAAACCAGATAGCAAAGGAAAATATTGTCTGATTTTACTTACATAATATATCTAAAATAGTCAAATTCGTAAAGACATAAAAGTGATGGTCACCAGTGTATGAGGAGAAGGGAAAGCAGGGAGTTAATGTTTCATGGTTGCAGAATTGCAGATGGGGAAGATGAAAAAGTTCTGGAGACAGATGGTGGTTCTGGGGGCACAAAAAAGTGAATGTACTGAATGCCACAGAAATGGACACTTAAAAATAGTAATGATGGCACATTTCATGTTAAATATATTTTACTATAAAAATGTCTAAAAATCTGCTCTTCATCCTTATCTACATTATCTGTCAGTGCATACACTCTAGAGGAAAATTGGTTGATTACTGATTTAGCCAAATCAGCCTCTGAGCCTCATTCTCATCTGAGAAATGGAAGATCTGGTGGAGTTTTCATGATTCCAAGAGGCATTGTAGGAGAGGGCAGATGTGGGGAAATAATCCTATGGAAGGTAAAAATCACAGAACTCTATAAATGAACATTGGCTCCATTACAATTTAGACATTTACTTTTTATTTTAAAATAATTAAAAATTTTTAGACAGGCTTGGTGGTTAATCCCAGCAGCTCAGAGGGCTGAGGCAGGAGGATTTCAAGTTCAAAGCCAGCCTCAGTAATTGTAGTAAGGCCCTAAGCAACTTAGTAATACACTGTTTCAAAATAAAAAATAAAAAGGGGTTGGGGATATAGCTCAGTGGTTAAGCACTCCTGGGTTCAATCCCTGGTACCAAAATAAATATTAAAAATTTAAATGAGAAAATATTTTGAATATACAGAAAATCCCCCAATTATAGCAATTATTTGTCTGTCAAAACTTAACGTTTTCATGCTTTATCATACACACTATATATTTTATCTTTTGATCTTGATTATTATCTATAGATATCTTTTTAAATTTTTTAGATATACATGGACACAATATCTTTATTTTGTTTATTTATTTTTATGTGATGCTGAGGATTAAACCCAGTGATTCACATGTGAGAGACAAGGGCTCTGCCACTGAGACACAACCCCAGCCCAGATCTTGCTTATTATCATTGATCCTCACTAGAACAGAGATTTTTAACTCTTTATTTCATTGCTGTATCCTATAGCCTAGAATATCATCTGTCACAAATGAGAAATTTAATACATTTTTAATACCTTTATTTGATTTATTTATTTTTGAGTGGTACTGAGGATTGAACCCAGTACTGTGTGTGCTAGGCAAATGCTCTACAACTGAACTACAACCTCAGCTCTCAATACATTTTTTGAATGAATGAATTAATGATTCCTTGAACAATTCTTCTCATATGCAAATGTTAGTTTCTCCTGGGTGGATTCCTACAAGTGAGGTTGCTTCTCCTCTGCTAAGTATTGCCAAACTGCCCACCAATTTACATTATCACCACTAATATCTAAGAGTTTGTGTTTCCACAGTTTGATATTATCACACTGCCTTGCTCTTGCCAATTTGATGGGTGTGAATGTTATTTCATTGTTTTGTTGTTTTATTTTGCATCTCCTTGCTTAATAGCGAGGCCTAGCATTTTCCTTAGGATTTTTCTTTGATCTGCTACTCATATCCTTGCCTGTTTTTATACGGAGCTGTTTATCTTTTATAGAGGTGTAAATGCAGGTAGATATAGATAGTTATAGGTTCAGATAAGCAGAGAGTGCTTATACCAATCCATGGTTAGAGTTTTGCAAATTTTTTTCTGGTCTAGCTTATGTTTCTTCATTGTCGTGTGCTTTTTGTGCCAGATTAAAAATTTTTTTAATATTTATTTTTTAGTTGTAGATGGACACAATACCTTTATTTTATTTATTTATTTGTTTGTTTGTTTATTTATTTATTTTTATATGGTACTGAGGATCAAACCCAGGGCCTTGCACATGCTAGGCGAGTGTTGTACTGCTGAGCCACAACCCAGCCCTAAAAACATTTTTTTAAAAAAACAGTTTTTCAGTACTTGGGATTGAATTCACAGCCTAAGGGCATCCTACTAAAGAGCTCTGCCTCTAAACTACATCCCCAGGTCTTTTTGTTTTTATTTTGAGTTGGCAAATCAAGCCCAGGCTGGCCCTTGAATTTGTATTCTTCCTGCCTCAGCTTCCCAAGTACCTGGGATTACAGGCAGGCACCACTGCACCTGGCTTGAGACATTTAAAATTTTAATGTTTTAAAATGTATTAATCTTTCCTTTTCTGACATGTACTTTATGTGTCTTAAGAACTCCTTTCCTAACCTGAGTTGATCCAAACATCTTCTTTTTAAATTTTCTTTGTGTGTGTGTGTGTGTGTGTGTGTATACACACCAGGGATTGAACTCAGGGGCATTTGACAATTGAACAACATCCCCAGCCGTATTTTTTATTTTATTTAGAGACAGGGTCTCACTGAGTTGCTTAGTGCCTTGCTTTTGCTGAGGGTGGCTTTGAACTCACAATCCTCCTGCCTCAGCCTCCCAAGCCACTGGGATTATAGGCGTGTGCCACCACAACCAGATACAAAATTTTTATCAACTTTTTATTGGAAAAGAACTGTAAACTTACAAAGTGTTACAGGATGTGGTGGCACATACTGATAATCTCAGCAACTCCAGAGGCTGAGGCAGGAGGATTGCAAGTTCAAGGCCAGTTTCAGCAATTTAGAGAGGCCTTAAGCAACTATTGTTAACATTTTATTGTATTTGTTTATAAATATACAGCCTATACAACATATTATATATCATATGTAATATTCCTCTGAACTATTTGAGGGTAAGTTCCATACATTATGATGGTTTATCCCTAAATACTTCAGTGTGTATTGTCCAAGAACAGGGATATTTTCTAACATAACTACTGTAGTTATTAACTTCATAAATTTACATGGATAAGTTTTAGGAAATTTCTAATCCATATTCCAATTATATCAGTTGTTTTTTTTCTCTTACTACAGCATTTTTATAAGTATAAGTTTAAAGTGTTTCCCTACAGATTGCTTATGAGTTGGAAGGGTGTGGACAGGCAGTGTAGAATGGGGAAAATGGAGAAATGGGCCGATAATTTGTCCAGGTGATACGAATGAATCAATAAGGTACATATGGACATCAACTGCCTATAGACGTTATACTCTGAGAGAGGGACACACACAAAAGAGCTGTAATTATACAATGGTTGCTCTTGTCCAACTCATAAGCAATCTGTAGAGAAACACCAGACAAATATTCTGCCCCTCCTCAACATTTTCACCTAGTTTTAGCACCCACAGATGATTCTTACCAGACCCAATCTTTGCCATGATGATCGAAAAAATGAATCATTTAAAAACTTTTGGTTTCACATGGAACTGATTTTGTGTGTGGTGTGAGATAGGGATCTAATTCTACCCCCAACCCCGACCCCTGCCAATATGACTAACACTAATCAACTTCAGGTTGCCTGGAAGCTAGACAGATCCCATACCAAAGGGGTGCAATAGGTGCTCCCATCCTCCACTAGTCAGCGCCTCCTTGACTGATTAAAGGCCCCTAATCAGCTTGGGGAGATTAGGGGCTCTGGCCGGCTGTTCCCACACCCCCACCCTGGGATGGGATGGCAGGGGAGAGAGAAGGGGGATCGACCCTGTGACCCCTCACCCGGGGGGCCCGAGCCCCGGACTTTCCGGTGAGTGGCAAATGCCCCTAGACACCTACTCCTCAGGACTGAGGGCTTGGGCGTGTCCCCATCGACCCCCGACAGCCCTGATGAGGCGGGAGGGGCAAACAAGTTGGGAATGGAAAGGCGGGAAGGCCGGAGAGGGCTTCCAGGACTTGCTCTTGGCCCGCATCTAAGTCGTCTGTCTGCAGAAGGGGCTCTGGAAGCAGAGACACCTCACCTGATATTCTGAACTTCTCAAAGCAGGCTTTCAGAAACAGGTTTGCAGGGAAAGCCCTACGAGAGTTTCGGGGGGGTCTCAATTGCTTATCCTGCTCGGTCTGTGCTCACAGAAGCTGGCAATGACTGCGTGCACCCTCCTAACCAGGGGGCTTCCTGACGTCGGGTTCTGCGCCCCTGCGCCGTGCGATGGGTCCCCTCCAAGCCTCCCGCGGGTCCTGCCCTGGCCCGGACCTCTGCTGCTCCGGTTCCTGCTCTTGCTCCTCTTCCCGCCGCCCTCTGCCCTCTCCGCGGTGTTCAAAGTGGGGGTCCTGGGCCCCTGGGATTGCGACCCCATCTTTGCCAGTGCCCGCCCGGACCTGGCCGCGGCTCTGGCAGCCGCCCGCCTGAACCGTGACCTTGCTCGGGAAGGCGGCCCTCGTTTAGAGGTCGCGCTGCTGCCTGAGCCATGCCGGACGCCGGGCTCGCTGGGGGCTGTGTCCTCCGCGCTAAGCCGCGTCTCCGGCCTGGTGGGACCGGTGAACCCTGCAGCCTGCCGGCCCGCGGAGCTACTAGCGCAAGAGGCTGGGGTAGCGCTGCTGCCCTGGGGTTGCCCTGGGTCGCAGGCAGCGGGCACCACTGCCCCTGCCGTGACTCCCGCGGCGGATGCTCTCTACGTCCTCCTTCGAGCTTTCCGCTGGGCGTGCGTGGCCCTGGTGACAGCCCCTCAGGACCTATGGGTGGAGGCGGGACGCTCTCTGTCCACTGCACTCAGGGCCCGGGGCCTGCCGGTCACGCTGGTGACCTCCATTGAGCCCTCCGACCTGTCTGGAGCCCGGGAGGCCCTCAAGAGGGTCCGGGACGGGCCCAGGGTCAGAGGTAGGTTCTCCAGCGGGGTACGGGGAGACGGTGGGTCCTGCGTGCAGCTGGGCACCTCAGGGAGTCAAACCTGTCCGCAGTGGTGATCATGGTGATGCATTCGGTGCTACTGGGTGGAGAGGAGCAGCGCTATCTACTGGAAGCCGCAGAGGAGCTGGGCCTGGCTGATGGCTCCCTGGTCTTCCTGCCCTTCGACACACTCCACTATGCCTTGTCACCGGGCCCAGAAGCCTTGGCCCCACTGGCCAACAGCTCCCAGCTTCGCAGGGCCCATGATGCTGTGCTCACCCTCACCCGCCACTGTCCTTCCGAAGGCAGTGTGCTGGACAGCCTTCGAAGAGCCCAAGAGCACCGGGAGTTGCCCCCTGACCTCAATCTGCAGCAGGTAGATGGGCCAAGGAAGAAGGGAGGAGAGTGAGGGAAGGGGCCAGGAAAAGAGTCAAAGTGAGGAAAGGAGGATGGAGCCAATGGGGAGAGAACAGGTGCTTTAGCTATTCTGGAATTTCCTGGGTAATGTAGATAGATCCTCTGGTCTTGTTTGGGATCTTGTTATATGGGGAATTATTTTCCAGAGAATAGGCAATGAGACCTCTCAAGCCCAGCTCCAAGGAGTAAACTCTAAAGCGCAAAATCATTTCCAGTATGCTTCAAAGTAAACCCATTTCCACCACTACCTTAATACACAAAACACAATAAATGGTTGGTGTTCAACTTTTCATGCCCACATGGGAGGTATTTCCTCTAGGACCTCATCTGGTAGTCTTAACTTTTTGAGGGCCTTGGCATCTTGCAAGAGCAGAAAGATCCCCAGGTGGAGCCAAGGGCTCCCATATTCAGATCCAAAGTTTATTCTCAACATCCAGCTCATATTCAGGATTCTGAGTTCCCAGAATTCCAGTTCAGACCATCTAGATCCACCCCAATTACAAAGGGAGGTTTAGAAACCATTGAGATAGAAGGGAATTTAGATATCAATTGCAGGAAGTCAACCACCACCAAGACCCTACTTGAAAGGGACTACATCAGAGAGGGTTGTGGGTCAAGGGGAATTGAAATAGTCCCCACAAATGTCCCCAGTCTTTCCCAAGAGGATTTGGAGTAGCCAATGGATAGAGAGGATGAGAATAATTGATGAGAGAATGAGAGTGAGATGGGATGGAGGGAGAATCAGTCAACAAAGAGGGGCAAAGAAAGTGAAGGGAAACTCTTCAGTTCTCAGCGAGTAACAAAACCTTCCACCAGCTGCTCAAGCCAGATGCAAGAAGGTCTCCCTGATTCCTCTCACTTTGTCACCCCATATCTAGACATGAAGTTAGTCTAAAGGTCATTTAAATCCATTCACTTTCTCCAGCCTCTTTATCATTGCTCTGGTTCAAGCCATAGCACCTCTGGCCCAAATCTTACAACATAATCTTCCTAAATTGTCTCTGTTTCAACTCTCACCTAGCTCAGGCCTTTTCTTTTCACCCAACAACCAGATCAAGCTTTAGAAATCTGGAAAATTCTAGCATGTCACAGTGGCTTCTGGGTACCCTTTCTCCAGCCTGGGTTGGGGACACTTTTCCTATATAGATGCAGGTTGCTTCACAAGGTTTATCAGAACTTGTGTTTTCCCTTCTCTTCTGTCTTCTGTGAACTTCAACCCTGCTGAATTACTTTGGATTTTGGAAATATGTCCTTTTTTTCTTCTGAGCTGCTGTGATTTCCTCTCTTTTACCCATCCCTCCCCTGGATGATTATGATTCATCCCCTGAGGGATGGCCACTACTTCTAGAAGCCTCCTGCTCTACCTCACCACATGAGTTAGAGACCCTCATTCTTATCCAGGAAGCTTTCTCGATTTCTCCTGCCTCTACTCACTACACTGCTTTCACAACCATGTCTGTTTTCCTAACTAGATGAAAATTTTCTCTGGGCAGAGATGGTCTCATATACCAGTGTATCTCTAGGGCTTTTCACAGTGTCTGGCACTCTGAGAGATGGGAACTGTCAATAGGAGAGTGGCCTGATGAGATCAGGAGGTAACCTTAAGGGGAAGCAAGGGGGAAAATAGGAAATAGAAGCCAAACAAAGGATGGGAAAGAAGGCTTTTGTGTGAATGGTAGATAATAAGATTAAAACTATATGCAGGGCAACCAACTGAAAGGAAAGGACAGAACTAGAGGGGATGGAGAGTTACAAGCAACCAAAAATGAGAGAAGAACCCAAGTCCTGAAAAGAGGAACAGACCAAGTGGGACAGCCAATGGGGAGAGAGGAAGAGAGAGCCTTAGGGGAACCACTAATTAGGAGTTGGGAACTGGTCAGTAGGGGCCGGGCTCCAAGGCCCCAATGAGAGAATAGGCGGGGCTGGTGAATTCCCATCTATCTGTGGGCTGTGGCTTCCAGATCTGAGTCCCTGCTGTCCTTCTCCAGGTCTCCCCCTTGTTTGGCACCATCTACGACGCGGTCTTCTTGTTGGCAAGGGGCATGGCGGGAGCGCGGGCAGCCGCCGGTGGGGGCTGGGTATCTGGAGCAGCCGTAGCCAGGCACGTCGGGAATGCCCCAGTCCCAGGGTTCTGTGGGACCCTAGGAGAAACCGAGGAGCCCTCCTATGTACTGCTGGACACGGACGCCTCTGGAAACCGACTGTTCACCACTTATGTGCTGGACCCTGACCGAGGCTCCCTGCGCTCTGCAGGGACCCCAGTGCACTTCCCTCGCGGAGGCTCCGCTCCAGGGCCAGATCCCTGGTGCTGGTTTGAGCCAAACGTCGTCTGCAATGGAGGTGAGGGCGAGCATCCCAGCCCCCACTGGGACAGTCAGTATAGCCTGTCCACAAAATTGTGAAAGAGAGTGAACTCCTGCCCTGCAGGGTTTTTTTTTTTTTAATATATATATTGTTGTTGTTGAAAATGGACAGGATACCTTTATTTATTGTATTTATTTTAATGTAGTGCTGAGGATCGAACCCAGTGCCTCACACATGCTGGGCAATCACTGTATCACTGAGCACCAACCCTGCCCTTCAGTTCTTTCAGGCCCTTCCTGACCCTTCCAGGCCCTCCTCCAAGCCCAGACTTGCTCAGGATCCCTTTGCTCAAGCCCTGATTCATTTAGTCTGAAAGCCCTCTGAGAAATTTTCTAGCATTTCCAGACTTGGAGGAATCCGTGACTTTCCTTAGAGGCTGTCCCAGCTACTATCCCCATTTCCTGGAACTCCAGGATTCGAAAGGGAACCTCTTCTTACCAAGGTCCTGAGTAACCATCCTTTTGTTGTCCCTTCAGGAGTGGAGCCGGCTCTTGTCTTTCTAGGCTTCCTCCTGGTGGTAGGAATGGGGCTTGCTGGGATCTTCCTGGCCCACTGTGTGAGGTGAGTAGGGGAGCCAGGTAAGTACCACGTGATCATGGCTCTCCACTGCCAGGGATGAAATTGTGCAGCAAAGACAGCAGCTACTCAAGAGTAGAAGAGGGGAGGATTTTTCCTGGGGCGGGAGGATAGGGATCCTGAAGGGCTGGCAGAGTCCCAAGGAAATGTCTGGTTTGGGGATGGCGGCCCTCCAGTATACCTCCCCTGAGCTCACTTCATCCCTTCATCCTAATTCCTACTGGCCTATTCAGATGAAACTGGCCCTCTTTGCCAGTATGACCTCTTTCCATTACCAGGCACCGGCTCCTTCATATCCAAATGGTTTCTGGCCCCAACAAGATCATCCTGTCTCTGGAGGACATCACCTTCCTCCATCCGCATGGGGGTAGCTCTCGAAAGGTCAGGAAAGCAGGGAGCCAGGAACCAACTGTCTTCTCCCTATACATTTGTTCCCTTCCCTGAGCCAGCCCTCATCACAGCCACTCCCAGACCCCAGGAAGAAAGCCTGATTTTTGCCCCAGCTGTGTCTGAGGTCTGAGCTCTGGCAATCAGCAACCTCATCTGTGCCATAGGAGTGACAGCCTCTGTCCTCACTACTTTCCTGGGGTGGTGTGAAGGTGCAACAAGAAAATGAATATATTTGTTTTGTAAAGTGTTGTGCACTTCAGAAGTACTATCATTATCATCTTCCCTCGTTGAAAGTTCTTCCCTTCCCCTCTTTAATTCACAAAACTCAGCCTAACCTCAATCCAAGGGTTTAAAATATACTCTGGGGTCAGAGTATATTGACTCTTTCTTTGCACCTCTGCCTCCCAGATGATCCAGGGGAGTCGATCCAGTCTGGCCGCCTTCAGCACGGCAGACATTCGAAGCATCCGCAGCCAGCCCTCAGACAGCACAAACGTTGGCCTCTATGAGGTGAGCATGAGCCAGGATGAGCTGTACTCCAGAAGGGGAAGTGAGAAAAGGTGCTCAGGCCTGGGAAGAGAGTAGGCATATTCTCAAGGGAGGCATGAAGTCATGTCAAATCCTGCAGACTCCAGGCAGCGGGAGGCCAAGTGGGACCTGGGGAGAGGTTATGGATTCCTCAATCCAGACCTGATTCTGCATCTGAGAATCTTCTCTGCTGCAGGACTTTCCCTTAGTCATGATCAAAATGAGGACTCCTCAAAGGCCAGACACAGTGACCGCAGGCCGGAGCTGCTGAGCAGTGTGCTGAGACTAGCATGCAGGCTGGTGTGGCCACTGAGGCCAGGGAGCCCTTGGCCCTGCCCCCTCATAATTCCCATCCAATTCAGATCAGACTCAGAAACAGCAAGCTCTAGAGTGAAGTAAGAATGTCACAAAAGGACATTAGGACACTGTGAGGCCAGGAAATCTGAATATGATGGGCTGGATGAGAGATACTGAGAAAAGATTCAGAGGGAGCCTAGAAAGAGCTCAACTAATCAGAAAGAGAGTAGAAATTTAGAGCACCCAAGCTCCAGGTCATGGAGAGAATGCAGAAGTTCCTACTATGTCACCTAGAGACCATCATGATCATTTCTCAGAGAAGGCACTACTTTTGGACAGGTTGTTCTTTGTTGCACAGGATGACCTTTTCCCTTGAAGAATATTTAGTTTCTCTTGTCTCCGGCCCTATCCACTAAATACAGTTTTGTGACAATTAAAAATGTCTTCACATTTATTTCCAAGTGCTCTGTAAGGATCAATGCCAAACTCTCACAACTCCCTTCTAGTTCAAATTCCTTTCCAACAGTCAGGGAAACTTATATAATTTGCACGATGCAGGACAAAATAAGTATGAGAGACCCCTCACTCATTTGAGATGATAGCAGCAGATCATTGAATCAAGCTTGGACCCTCTGAGCAGCCACAGGAATTACATGCTAGGAACCAAGCCTGAAAATAGTTGAAGACAAGGAGGCTCCCTACCCCTCCCATATAGTTTACATTAAAGCCTCATCTGCCCAGATGCCTGACTCAAAGCATGATGCTCTGTCATGGCAAGGGATGGTGATGTCAGTGACATTGTATTTGTAACAGTTCACTTAATGGGTGCATCTAGGGTGGGGAGGACAACTGTATAGGTCTTTTGCATCTCTCTCACCTAGGGGTGGGTTTTCATCTAACTGGCTGAGAAGCAGATAAACAGATATCAAACTCCTGCTTCTGATGCTGTCACATAGCAGATGTGTTCTGGGACAGTGGGCAATGGAAATGTATCATGAGGCTTTAGGAAACTGAGTTCCCTAACCTCATCCTCTCTTCTGCAGGGAGATTGGGTTTGGCTAAAGAAATTCCCAGGGGATCATCATGTAGCCATCCGCCCAGCAACTAAGACAGCCTTCTCCAAGGTAAGAGGTGATCCTATGATTGGTGCAGGGTGGTCATCAGTCCCTCCCTTCTTGCCTCCTCTTTACAGCAGCATACAGTAGTGGGTTTCAGTTAAGTGTTCCTTCCACTCTAGAGCAGATTTCTCATTATTCTGTCTCATGGCACTAGTTCTGTGATAATCTTATCACAACTTATATGTGATAAATTACACATTAATTTATACATAAGTTATATGTTCACCTATGGCCTGACTTATTGCTGCCTCCTTCATAGACTGCAAGCTTAGTGAGAGTTTCCCTCCATTGTATACCCAGCACCCAACACAGGATCTGGAATATTACTGAGACCCAGTGAATGTTTGCTGAATGAATGATAGAAAATGAATTTTCACTTCTGTCAGGCCACATATGCCAAATGGCCCTAGTTGTATTGATATGTGCCTAATAGAGTGGAAAATTGGCAAGGAGATAATAGATTGGCTATTTCTAATCTTTTCAACCTCAATGGTCCTCCTCCCCCCAATGCCATGAAATCTTTGTCTGGCTTACTTTCCTGAGGCCTCCACAGGTGCTCATGGTCACAGCTGTGGAATGATTTAAATGGACAGACTGTGGGTCAGTACACTGTCACCATTTAACACCAGGTGTTTAAAATGAAATCCAAGAAAATCTAGAAAGGGCACCCATCAGCCTTTACCCCCACTCTTCCAGTGTCTGAGTGCATTCTGTCCTACCAAGTAGGTATGATCTTTTGATGGCTCCTCTAGGACCATAACTTGGCTGCACAGTCCTGTCCTACCTAACCTGGGGAGTATGGCATCTCAGAAGCATCGGAAACACTGATGCAACACCAAATAGGGCAGCCCCAGTTCAGGCTAAAGGCACACGCTATTTCTGATGTGTTCAGAAAGCCCTAGTGCCTCTCCACAGAGATTGTTACATTCAGAAGGAGATGGTGGTAATGGCAGGGGTTTCTCCCTCATGTAGTGTTTTTCCTTAAGATGGAGGCAGTTCAGCCAGATGTGTGTGGTGCACAACTGTAATCTCAGTAATTTAGTAGGCTGAGGCAGGAGGATTACAAGACTGAGGCCAGCCTCAGCAACTTAGTGAGCTCTTGACTTAAAAAAAAAAAGACTGAGGCCATTCAATTGGGTGCAGTGGTGCAAGCCTATAATCCCAGTTATGCAGGAAGCCAAGGCAAAGAATCTCAAGTTCTACATCACTCTTGGACAATGTAGGGAGATCTTGTTGTGAGATAAAAATAAGGGCAGGGGATGTAGTCCAATGTACTAGGCTTTGGGTTCAGTCCCCAAACTGAAAGAAAGAGGGAGGAGGAAATGGTAGAGAGGAAGAAGAGGAAAAGAAAAAGGGGAGAAAGCAAAAGAAGAAAGGACAGTGAAGGATGGAGAAGGAGAAGCAGGGGGAGGGAGGGGAGGGGAGGGGAGGACAATGGGCAGGGGAGGAGAAGGAGAAGAGGAAGGTTGAGGAAGAGAAGGAGGAGGAGGGGGGAGAAAAAGGGGAAAAAGAAGGAAGAAGAGGAGGAGGAGAAGGAACAACTCTGGGGCAGTTCAAAGAATGATGTTTGATAAATCAGAACCTGCCTGGGTCCTTATCACCAATGCATGGTTGTCTTTTCATTCATAACTTTTAAGCTCAGCCATATTCAGTATCTAAACAGTGTGGCTTTTGACGATTTTGTTTTCCATAAAATCAACAGAAGAACCCCAAAACACACATCAAAACACACACGCACACACACATAATATATATGTCTTAGATTATTTCATTCATCACTCTTATCCCATCTTCCTAGTTTAGATACTTAAAAACAGACATTGATTAGCGGCCCACTCCCCACATTGCCACCAGGGCAGAAAAGGCCTGTCAACCTTTCTCCCTCTCAGCTCAGAGAGCTCCGGCACGAGAACGTGGCCCTGTACCTAGGGCTCTTCCTGGGGGGAGCCGCAGACTGCCCTGCAGCCCCAGAGGAGGGCGTCCTGGCTGTGGTCTCAGAGCACTGTACACGGGGCTCCCTCCACGACCTCCTCGCCCAGAGAGAAATAAAGCTGGACTGGATGTTCAAGTCCTCCCTCCTGATGGACCTCATCAAAGTGAGGGGGAGGTTGGTAGGGGGGAGGTCGTAGTAGGGCGGGTCCTGGGGGCGAGGAGAACGGGAGCAGAGAAACCGCTCTGGCTGAGGCTGCCTCTTACCCCGCCTCCTCCAAGGGAATGAGGTACCTGCACCACCGCGGCGTGGCTCACGGGCGGCTTAAGTCGCGGAACTGCGTGGTAGACGGGAGGTTCGTGCTCAAGATCACCGACCACGGCCACGGGAAACTGCTGGAGGCTCAGAGGGTGTTACCGCAGCCTCCCACGGCGGAGGGTAGGAGTCCCCCGCGGTCTACGGCGCACGGGACTAACGCCCCAGGAGTCACATAATTAATTTCAAGGTCCCCCGCTCCCTTCCTCGCACTCTCCCCATTCCTTATCCATTGGACGCGACTGCTACGGAAAAGGTCAGGTGACCTCTAAGAATCGGAAGATGGAATCTGTCTGGGGAGTGGGGCTGGCCAGGGGGGTGGGATTGTGCCTGAGCTCTTGACAGTGCATCGGGGTCTGCAGTAAGAGGGGCTTTGTCTGAGGGCGGGAGCCTGTGCCCAGAAGATCGAGTCTTTCCCGGGCACCGCCTGGTTTGAGGGGCGGGGCTTATTGTGAGGGCAGGACTTCTGAGACAGTTGAGTTTCAGGTAATCTCTCCTGGGGTTGGTTGCA